GGCTATCATTAGACACTTCTTCCTTTTCTGCACTTTTTGCCTTAGTGCCTGTCTTTATTGCAGTGGGTATGCCAGGGTATCTTTGATGAAATGCCTCCCATAGATACTCTATTAATGAATATACTGCCATCCCGCAGAGAACACTGAATAATAACCGTATGATATTCGGGTACTGCCATATTTGGGTTATCTCTTCTTTAGAATCCACTCTCATTCTATTTATTGCATTTTTGCACCCGAATATATTGTATATCTAAAGATCATTTTTATTTTTATATTTATATTAATACTCTGCTACTTCTCTATATACTTGTATAAAGCATATTAGTATTTAACAATTTGAGTCAAGATCACTACTGCAGGATATACACAGAAGAGTGTGCAGAGTGTGTTATACTGAGGGTATTCTGCTGGATACCTCTTGTATTTGCGCATATCCACTCTCTTTCCACTCTACTGCATGCATACTTGGATAGTTGTGACTTTTCTGTCTTGGATGGCTCTATTTCTGAGTCTGCCATCATACAACAGACCATCTGAGTCATAGACAGAAACATTCTCTATGTGCTAACTGCACTTTCTAGCTAGTGTATCTGTTATACACTGTACTATGTCTATATATTCACTTAATAGACTTTCTTGCATTAGCAACACACAACTGTTGCATTTAGAATGCTTTAAAGTAAAGTATATTTATTGAATATCCTTCCTACTAATAATCTTGCGCTCTTGGGAAATTTCAGAGAATTCTCTGCAAACTAGATAGAGTAAAAGAAAAAAGACAACTGTCTCTTCTCCATAAAGCTCTATTTAAGCACAGAAATAATTTCCTACAAAACCAATACTAGCAAAATAAATTATTTTCTGGTTAGTGAAGAGTTAGCTATAACACTAGCAAAACTTCAGTAAAGCAGCTATCAAACAGCAAACACTTGGATAGCAGTCAGAAGGCTGCTGAGAGTTGAATTGTGCGTATAGAGTTATATGGACAATCTATGAGCTATTCTTTGAGTATCCGAGCCCTTCCAAGTTAAGTCTTCTGGCAGTTCACCTACTGTCTAAGAGCAAGACCATTGTAAAATATTTACTAGAACTTAGGGTGTTCGAGGCAGCATTCTGGGCATTTGGAGTGCTTGAAACTTTCGGGTTATATCACTGGGTTCGGGTGGGTTTATGGTTTTTACATATTCAGAAAGAACATGCAGAATATAGCTGTCTATTGGAATCTTGGGTATTTCTATCTGTAACTTAGAACAACCCGAATTTACAGCACACTTACGAATTCCTAAATGAACTTTTTCTGGTGTCACAAAACGAATAACTATCGACTGATTCCTGCATTTTGTTACATAGTGGATCACTATACTTCCAGTCAAATAGTTTTTATTATTCACTATCTGAATACTATAATCCACAAAGTTCACAAGCATTATTCTCTTATCATTAGAAGATGTAGAAGATATTGAGAATACATCTGCAAGTGTTTTATTCTTTAAGAATTCTCTTGTCATATGAAAAAATATTACTTCTGCATACTCTGCAATTCCTTTTGTAAAACAGGTTATTCCGAAAGATCCATCCATCTGCTCTCGATCTTGTAGTCTTTCTCTGTACTCGTGTATTTGCTCTATATATTTACTGCAGTCCAGTCCTGTAACTTTTATCATTATTATGAGAATATTTAAAATATCTGGTTCAATCACACGCTTATTATTCTCTAGTGTTGTGTAACTTATGTATGTATTGCGCTTCACCAAGTTCTTAATTATTTTACTCCATTTTTTCTGAACCTCTTGTGGTATTTTCTGCCCTACCTGAATGACAGGCGTATTACTGCTTGGTGGGTTGTTTATATCTGGATTTCCACTTGTTTCGGATGAATCGCTAGAGGTACTCGCGTTTTTAGATGGCATGGCAAACAGACTCTTCACTTCCTTTGACATGTATGGAAGATGGTCAAAATTGTATTTATCTGTCTTCGGGTCATATGCAATGCAGCATAATAAAGTAAGCAGCACAGACTCTATGTCACTTGAAATTAGCCATTCTTCTGGCTGTACACTCCCTTGGGTATTTGCTCCAACTGTTATTTTGGTAGGGAGCAGGCTATTATCTGCAAAGGGAAGTAGTCGGATTTTTTTACTAGCTTCAGCCATACCTTCAAACTCTTTTATCTTCCTCCACCACTTTAATGCCTTTGGATTCGGGGTATACAATGCAAATAATTTATTACGGATCTTCTGTGCAATATTTCTATAATTACTACCAAGTGGATACTTATTCTTACAAAACACCAATTTTTTGATTATATTATAGTAGAGTTTATCTATATCATCTATAGTTTCCAGATAGTAGTATATGTATGACTGTATAAGCCATGTTGGGGTCTTAGTAAACTCATTCTTCCAATAAACTTCTTTCTCGGCAGATTCCTTCAGCGCTATACTCTCTTCAAGCTCCTGGCAGGACTCTGCATTAAGGAAGTACTTAATAGTCTGCACTATTTTACTGCTACTTTTTTTTATATTTGCTTCTTCATTAGAGTCACTGCTTTCCTGCTCTTCTGCACTAGCAATGCATATGGGAACACTGAAGGATTGCTCTGGATTGAACTCATCTGTCCATGTAAGTCTTGGGCATGCGCTTTCCTCGTCCTCAATTATCAGCGGCACAGGCACTCCCTCTGCCCGCAGAAAAAGTATTGCAAGGATGTTATGCGCATATTCCTTGACAGGGTCACTCTTCAAGAAAGAAGTGAAAGAGTCTTTGCAGCCTTCTTTCGGATAGATGCTTATTTTTTCATATGGGGAAGGGAACATGTTAATCAGTGCATTGTAGTGGTCTACAACTCTATTCGGGAGCCTATTTCCCTCTGAATCCTCTTCTCTAGCTATGTCGTTTGTTGAATCTCTTATCCAGAAAAGACCTTTATTCGGTGATGTAAAATAATATTTTTTTATGTATAAATCAGTAAATCGATTATTGTAAAGAATATCAACCTTTCCATATGCATATAGAATAATTGGGCTAATATTCCCACCTATTTTAATGCTCACCTTACCTTTTGTTCCACTTAATAATACTCTTATCACTGTATTCATGTCCTCTTCGCTTAATAACCCTAAGACATTCTGCATAGATAAAAGCATGCATATAAGAAGCACCTTTGCTAGTAGACTGATAGGTATCTGTCTGTTCTTTCTTTTGTATAAATATTTATGTAGCTGATTTCTTCTCTCTGAAGTGTTAGACTTGTTCATACAAATGTGGATATATTTTATTTCTCGTCGCCTATTTATAGGCCTCAAAGAGAAGTCTATCAAATTGACGCCATGAAAGTAGAATCTTATTAGATACGTATGGCAAGTGGCAATATATATTACCTACTCAATCACTTGATTGCAGCCAAATAAAACAAGCAGAGGTTCTTATATAGTATTAGCCTTTAACCAAAGCCCAGAAGGCAATAGCCAACCCATACTTTCTACATTGCTAACCCAGGTAAAGAGTTTCATGCGCGCAAGGCAAGGAAAACCAACACATGTATTTTTCCTTTCATGTTCATATTTTAACACTGCAACCTTCAAATATTTTTGCAGTAATTTGTTTAGTAAATCCCACAGAAGAGAATTCGAGCTATATCGAGTGCATTTCTGCAACAAAATATAATAAAATTTAACTAGTCTTACACACGTATATATTCACGCGTTTGCTTGTTGTTATCCCTGCCTTGAGGGCACAAATCCCTTTTCCAAGCCAGCAATGTGCCACTAAAGCGTCTGCCTATTTGTGCCTGAGTGGCCTGCTCTTTCTGGGCTGTTTTGTGGCTGGCTGTGTTCTCCCTGTGCTCTGCCAGCTGAACATGCTTGCTGGTCAAATGCCAGTAGATGCACTCACATACAACAGACCATTCAGTCATAGACATATGCTCCTTTATGGTCTAACTGCACTTTCTGGCTAGTTTATCTGCTATACACTGTACTATGTCTCTATATTCACTTAATAGACCTTCTATTGGTCTATCAGTGTATATACCTATTAATACATCCATACTCTCTATTTATCTGTCTATTCTTTTATTTCTGTGCATTTGTCTACTTTGTCTTTTTCTTCTCTTTCCAGTGTCCTTCTTGTATTTTTATTCTTTTATATATTGGAAAATAAAGTATACACACAGCCCTCTGAAGCAATTTATTTTACATAGTTATAAAAATAGAAATAAAGCACTAGAGACAGGGAAAAGAAGAAAAGTAGCACATTCCAGAGAACCATCACTAGTCAGATATAAAGAGAGAAATAAGAGGGAGACAAAGAGAGCAACATCCTACAGACAAATAGAGAACGAAACAAGCATTTATTGACAGCTAGACATACACTCGTATATGCATAGTATATTAGCTTTCCTTCTGCACTATACAAATACATAAAGACACTCTATTCGTGTGCACTATTGGGTTTCCTTGCCTATAGGACATAAAACCCTTTATCTGGGCTAGCAATGTAGATTAGTGTTGGACACTGCCTTTCGAGGTTTGACTGTAGGCAAACACGCTACAAGATATACCTGTTTACGCGCCAGCTAGACTAGCCCAGACTATAGGACCCTTTATTAGCTGGTAAGAGAATATCTAATTATCTCCATAAAATATAGCTATTGGAGGAGGTCTATAAATAGAGAACAAGAAATATTTTTTTAGTTTGCATGGCCAAGTCTAACACTTTGAGGAGAGAAAACCAGCCTTATTTAATTAAAATACATCCTTCCGTTATTTGGATTAAGACAGCTGTCTTAGTCAGCATTCTACTAATAAACATACACAGAGCGAACATGACATTGGACGAAATAGAGACCACTCTGCAGTTTGAAATAGCAGCAGATTCTTCACCGGTGAAGATAAACCCAGAGGGGCCTCTAAACTTTCTGCGGGGATACATCTACCAGAAGATGGAGTGCATGTACAACAAAAGATTCTTTGCTCCGCAGATTAATACAGAGTACAATTTAGAGCACTGTAGACATAAGGGAGATCTAGAATATACATACACTCGAAATAGAAGGATGGACATGGCGTACAAAGCACTATCCGATAGTGAAATGGATGTGTACAATGAGCAGTACCACAATTACCTTATTGAGCTGTTTCCATCGCCAACGGGTGACATATCAATAGAGACGCGAGTAAGCCGGTCCTTCATTCGGGCTCTTCGGGCTGAGAAAACAGAGAAGCATGCGCTGCAAATTCTGGCCATGCTGCTTCTTTTCTCAGAGGGGGTAGATATTCCCATTGAATTCACTCAGTCTGCACTAAAGGTATATGAGGCGGACAAAGAAAAGGGAATATACTTTGAAGTGCCCACTGTGATCGAGCGGCTATGTGCTAAAACTGGTGAAGTCGAAAAACTCAAACAGGAGAAGTTTATTACAATAATCAGCTTCTTCCAGAAGAATGCAAGCAAACATGAAGTGCTTAGTATAATGGAGGACAAGTGTACGAAAGAGGAGATTATGTCTGGAAAGTTCTTAGACAGTCCAAAGTTCCTGATACAGTCATACATATTCGGGTTCATAGAGACAGCACAGCATGCAATTGAGTTTATACAGGCAGTGCACACTATGACAGAGAAGTATGCACCAAAGACAGAAGCACCAAGTAAAGGTGACTCTGTATACGACAGGCTTTTTAAACCTGCCAGTACAGAAACAGGCACAGACTGCATGTCATTAATGAAGAAAGCTCAAGAGATTTTAAATACAAAACCGGTCTTCCCATTTGCAGACAGCACGCAGCTTCCTAGATACACATCTGTTCCTAGGTACAGCCGAAAAACAAACACCTTTTCTACTAACCATTCGAAAGACTACAGCAACTGTGTGGAGTGTATGATTCTTTCTCTTTTCTGCTGCTTGGCATATGACCCAGCAGA